CTTCGAAGATGGACCTGTCGTACTTGTTATACACTACCACAGCACATCCTACACCTTCTGTTGACTTTGACTTGTCAATGAAGATTTTGTATCCACTGTTGCTATCTTCCCAACTCTCCTTAATTTCTGGGCATGGCTTTGCTGGATGTACTGTATGTTGTTGCTTCTCTGTGCTGTGTCAAAACCATATTGTTGAATGTCCTTGATAAGGTTGCTCATTAATGGATAGTGGTTGGAAGTCTGCAAACCATCAGCTGGTTGTCCGAGAAGTTGATGTTTCCAGTGAATTTTTAAGACATGTAAGTCAAGAGGCAGTATGTTTGTAATTATCTGTAAAGCATTTGTAGGGCTTGTCTGGTAGGCCTTTGCAATGGGGATAAGGCTCATGCGTTGTATTGATAAAAGTTTCCTCTTGATGTTGTGCTTAGTAGCTGCTTTTTCCCAGACCTCTGCTCTGTATATGATTGCCGGCTCGATGGCACACCGGTAAATGGTCAGACTAGTGTTAGAGTTGATCCCCCATGTATTCCAAGAAATGCACCTGAGGGAATGTGCAAGGGTGATGGCCTTGCTGTGGACATGTTTGACATGTGGCTTCCAGGTTTGTACCTGGAAGCCACATGTCAAACATTGATTGAAGTATTTAATGATTGGGCTGTATTTTATATGTTGGCAGAAAGTTCGATGGCAGACCTATTAACCAGAGGATATGGTGAATGGTCAAAAAATGACTCCCCAAGATGTTTACATTTTTGGACTCAGGACACCTTGAAATGTCAAGAAATGCAAAAAGATTTGAGGGTTTTTTCTGTATGTATGGTGTATGTGTGTATCTCCAGTAGGGTCAGACTTAATGATGATTTTACTTGTTATTAGCATTTACAATTTTTTATAAAACCAATCCCTAATCTGAAAATTAGGCTTTTTGCCATTTTATAATAGTTAAAAATATATGATATTTATCATATTTTATTAAAAACTTTTTAAAAGATGGTGCCACCAAATGTTGTCAGAAAAGTTAAAAAATCCAGCAATGAGTTGCTTATTTTAAGATATTATAGTGATAAAAGTAAACTAAAACACGCATTATTATTATTTTGTATTTTTGAATTTACAGAATATATTGGTATAAATAATACTGTAAAAATCTGCCCATAAACTTGTAATTTCTTTTAATACTTAAAACAGTCACTAGTGCAGTGAATCTGGTGTTAAAGTATTTGAATCCCACTGCATTACTTTTTTCCTTTAATTCAACAATTTAATAGACAAAAAAAATTACAAATAACTGTTACATTCATGCTTTATATTACACACCAAACAAAAATTAGAGAGATTTATTGTATGCCCATCAATTTCTTGGCATAATTTTAACTAATTATTTTCAGTGTAATTCTTGTTTTAGATTAAACAGACTTTATCCTAAGCTATCTACCAAAAACAATATTGTATTTCATAGTACAGAAATTATTTTAAAATAATATTAGAATGATAAGATAGAGTTTCATAAGTTAGGCCATTCATTAAAATTACAAATTTTTTAACTTGGAATATGATATTGTTATGATATATGATTTTATGCAATATAAAAGTTTGGTATTCAGAACTAAATAAATATTACAATTAAGTATTTTTAAGCAGAAAAACAGGGACATAAAATTATAGCAACAGAAAAAAATGAAAAACAGTATATCCAAGACACAAAAGTACGAAAACATTTTATACAAAAATAAAATGTTTTCAAATATCTTTGTCCTACTGTTTTATTATTTTCAATATATTACAGTAATACCTTGACTTACACTACCCCGACTAACGAGATTTTCAAATCTCGTCGATTCTTCTTTTGTTTGAGCGCCACGCAACTCTTGATTACTCACTCCCTCCACACTATTGTTCAGCTTACATGCTCGGACATGTCGCGCGGAATCGACGCATAGCTACAATTTATTTTGTGTTATTTATTTCTGTGTTTGTTATATCTACAGAGATTTGAGAGATTATGTGATGATTTCTTGTAACTGTGAACAAATCAAAAGATGAGATAAGATTAACGAGAACATTTATTAGCTTACATACATCCGACTTGGATTTTACACTTGAATTTTTGCGAAATTATACCCCGACTTACACAAATTCAACTTACGCGGTTATCGCTCGGTCCCACCTATTGTGTAAGTTCAGGATATTACTGTTCTTAATTTATAATCATCATAATTTTTTTTAAAAACTTTGAGTCTCAGATCCAATTCTAAAAATCAAACTTTTAAAATCAACTTTTTAAAGTTGATTTTTAGAATTAGTTTAAAATAGTTTGAATTAGAATAGTTTGTTGTTTTATGTTAGTTATTCATTGACAAAAAAGTTACATACTCAGATAGAATATTTACCAAGTTTTGCAGTAATTGGACAACAGATACCTTAAAATTCCCATCCCAATATCCTATAAAAAGGCTCACTGAGTTCAGAATTTTGAACATCAGGCTTCCTGTATGATGCAGTTAAAAGACATTATGCACAGCTTATGGAGTTTGAGAAAGGCCATAACAGAGAGCTGATGGAAGCAGGATGGCTGTTTTGCCAAACTACTCAACATCTGGATCATTCTGACCTGACTGTGAGATGGTGTTGGGACAATGGAAATGTGAGGGCACATAAATGGTGGACAGGCTCTGGTTGCCTCAGAAAGACTACCACGACAAATGATCATCTTCTGATCGTGAGACAAGCACAAATTATTAAAACTGTGTCTTTATCTATCATCTAGAATGCTACAGAATCTTGTCTCTTCCTGTATAATTGGCAAGTGACTAGCAGAGGCAAATTTAAATGCACAGTCACCATGCCTGCAATCTTTTCACTAGCACCCCAACATTTTCAGCTTTATTTGCATGTGTGCCATGACAGAGAAGTAGGAACTGTTATGGACTGGTAGAGTATTGTCTTTAGCAATAAAACTGAGATTTGTTCAGAAACATATGACCACCATATTAGTTAGGTGGTCATATGTTTCTGAACATATCTCAGTTTTATTGCTAAAGACAATACACTGCCACTGCTCTGATATGCACTCCAATACCATCTTTATTATGAGTGCAGTGTGCTATTCAACTGTTGGCATGCTAGTCTGTGGACCATCTCATATGACAGTTGATCAACTTTAGTAGTAGGTTAAGGAGCATCAATGGTACAGCATACATTCAGGAAATCCAGTGCCTTCATGTACCTTTCATGGTTGGGACTGCAAACAGCCATTTTTAGTAAAATAAAGCTTTGCTTACACAACTAAGGTTTTCCAGGAATGTATCCATCACATTGCCATACTTCCTTGGCCCACCTAGTCTCCAGATTTATTGCCCATTGAGCATTAGTAGAAACAGATAGATGCCAGCTTCAGCTATCTATGAACATGAGGGATTTGGAATGGAAGATGCAAAAAGTTTGCCTATATTAGATGTGGGCAAACATTTTGCAGAATAGCATATAGTCCCTGTAGGCTTCCATTCCTGACAGTATCAACTGTGTGTATCCAGGTAGGAGGAGGTACTACATCAAACTAGAATTTCTTTTAAATTGTACTGTTGTTTTACAGAAAACTGTCCCTTTGCTATGATATTGTAAGATCACTATTATTGCAAACATAATGATAGTGATAATAAAAGTTTCATTCAATTCACACACCAAAAAAGAGGTGTTGGATTTTTGTCAGTAGGTGTATTTTGGAAAGGAAACAATGTTAAAACATAATTAAACTAAAATTCTAAACAAACATTTTTTCAACATCTCATGATGTTAATTTATAATATGGTATAATCAATTTCAATGTGCAAAATATAAAAATATTGCTTCTTTATTGTATACTAGCTGTAAGGACCCGCTTCGCTGGGTTTTTATTTGTATGTAATATAGTTTTTTTATATATATAAGACTGTTTTTGTAAGTAATCTAGAATCTAGCTGCAAGGACCCGCTTCGCTGGACAAAAAGTAATGATAGTGAAGATTAAGATAATTACATTATAGCCAATCTTACCCGTTTTCACAGAATGCAAGAATTAGGTCCCCCGTTTCCAGACTAATTAGAGAATTTTTACATGAGTCTAAAAATATGTTCGATTTCCCGCAAAAACGCAAAAAACCACCTGTAAATCTTGCATGCCGCTTTATATTAACACTTCTTTTGTTACTCAACACTTCCATTGTTACATATCTTCGAAGTCAACCACTTTCAACCCTATATCTCCCACACCCTTATAGCACAGAATGAAAGAAATAGGTCCCCCGTTTCCAGACTAATTAGAGAATTTTTACGTCCAGTCAAACGAACTATTTTCAATTTGATCAATTTTCTGGAACGTTTACAATCGTTCTATAATCGAACCAATTCGAATTTGAAAATTTTTAAAATCGAAATAGAAAATCTTCCACTTTCAACCAATTTCAAGCCCACATCTCCCGCACCCTTATAGCTATCGAGACGCAACCACCATAGTGCACGAATGGAGACTCGGGGCTACTACCACATACAAACACCATTCACGTGCGATGTGTAGTTTTGGCAGAAAAGTGAAATATAGGGACATACATGTCCATTTTTATATATATATATAGATAATATAGATATATAGATAATGGATTATAAACATGAAACATAAAACTATCAAATATTAAAATTTTAAAAATGTTCCTAATTCATATTTGAAACATTATTTCATGTTCTATTTAAGTAGAATAAAATATTTTAAATAGTTTAATAATTGTTATGCAATTGTTTGATGAATTTATATAATTCATGGAGATATAAAATGCAGTTTATTCAAATTCTTAATTGAGTGAATTGTTTAATTAAGTCAGAACACTAAGATTTACGAAAATTAAGTCTGAACTATTTGAAGTGTTAAATATTGTAAAGAATAAAACCAAAAATATGTACAACATACTTAATAAGTATTAACATATCATGCCAATAGAATATAGAAAAAAGTGTAAATCCTATACTCACTTCTCGAATTTCATTTCCAGCTCCTCTATAATTACTCAGTTCTTGCAAGATGCTTCTGGAATGCTGTAATATATTATAGACTATATCAAAAGTCTCTCTTTCTGCTTCTGTTGGTTGAGCACCTGAAGAATTATTTTAAGTATTAACATTCTTAAATTTTGTAATAATAGGCTTAAATTTGTTTTAAAGGTTTATTATTAATATAAGCTTTTAATTAAAAATTAAATATTATATTAAACTTAAATAATATATACTTTTTAAAAATATTTTTTTTAAGCTGAAAATACTAAATTTTTAAATAAAACCAACAAAATATGTTACAAATGGTACAATTAACAATAATAAAAAAATAACTATTGATAGTTGTATAATTAGAACTAAGTTAAAATCCATCGAATTAATAAAATAAGTATACAAAATATATCTGTACATACACGTGTATGTTCATATAATTTCGTTCATTTATTTACGAATATTACATACAGCAACAAAAAGAATAAAAGAAAAGAAATATGCAATAAAGAATAATTTTCAATTACTTCATTGTATAAATTTTTATGATACATTAAATAAAAGAAAAAAAAAAAAAAAAGAGAAATCTTATTACATGTTAAGACATAAATAGCTATGATAAGTAAATACTGTATACACATATATTATATTTTACATATTTACATATATTATATAAAATTACATAAAGTTTTTAAAATGCATGTAATAAAATGTTTAACTCACAATTAATAAAGTGTATAGATAAAATATTTTTAAAATATAGAAAGAATTCTGTAATTAAAAGCAGCCTTGCTAAAATGTAAGAATATACATCCAATTGATCATGAACATATTACAATAGTATCTGCACAATTACACAAAGAACATCTAAACATTTTTATAGTTAATCAGCTGTGAAGAGTTGTTTTATAACAACTAATATTACAAGAAGAGAATGAGAGAGATGTTTAATAATAAAGATAAAATAAAAATACATTAAATTTCAATCTTTTTTTTGTTCATTCATAATATTTTACTCTATATTCAAATTTTTATAAGCCATGCCACAAAACAAGGGTAACTATTTTAATCAATTTTATGGAACTATTGTTTTTCTATCTTTTAAAACAATAATCAAAGTGATATTCTATAATTGGAAATATTTAACATACTGTTTTGAATTTACATATCTTTTTTCAAAATGTATATTAGTATATTTTGCTGTAAAAAATATTTTGAAAAATTATATAATTAACCAATTACAATATTAATCAAATTATATGATAAATAAATGCAATAAATGAAGAAAATTTGTAAATATAGACCTTTTATAGATTTACATATTTATTACTTGGCAATTCTACTGAAAATTTAGCAAATATTTGGGGGTTCTTCAATTACATTTACATTCAAATATTGCAATATAATAAAAGTTTATTTTATTAAAACAAAATAATAATAATTTATTCCGAATATTTATAATTAAATAATTAACAAAAGATAGACAGAATGCTATCTTTATATGCTAACATATATGTATATACACACACACATATATATACTTCAATTGATAATGTCAAATGTGTATGATTTCTAAAACAGATTAAGCAGAATAAATATTTATAATCTTCAAGTTACTATATATTACTCCGTAAACGAGCAATAAGTTAATATCGAATAATCACATTCCGACTCCATTTACCGCGGCATCTTCACCCACAAACTACAGAAATTTTTACGGTTCGTAACCGAAGACGGTCGCATAAAAGCTTCCAAAAATGCTTTCTAATATAGTAGTAATTGATCGACTAGCGTACCGTCTGCTTTAATCACGCATTAACAACGTATGTTAATATTTATAGTTCAACGTATTTGCAGGGAAAGTTTGTTTTTATTCCATTTACCGGTATGTATTTCAACCGATTATTAAATTTTATGTAAAATTTCTCCTAAATACATTAAAACAAGATTGGTGTGGAAGTTGTTTGTGCCATTTGTTTAAAATGTTTTACAAGTTACAAATAAGTTTATATAATTTTATAAAATACATGAATAGGAAACTAATTTAATTAAAAACATACTTTCGAAATCAACAAAGACATCATACTTTGGAGGGTCTTCTCTGGATAATAATCTGAGCAAATTTCCCATTGTGGCTACATTAAAAATAAATATATTTTAAAGGTAGTGTACAGAAGCATACAAACTTATAAATACATAGCCTTTAAAAGAGCTGATACGAATTAGTTAATTTATTCTTAAGTTTAAAATCATTATTAGCACGAGATTAACTTTAATCTTCGGCTAATTACATTTGCAGATAATTCTATTTATTTATTAAATTAATTAACTAACTTAGAAATTAACGACGATGTAAACCGAAATCATTTTTATACGGCTAAAAATAATTGAAATAACTTTATTATTTACTTACTGAAAACTGCTATCGGGTAGGATTTGAGTTTCAAGTTTTAAATAAAAATATATTTGATAAAATTACAAAACACTTTAAATAATTATAAAACCAGGAATGAGATAAACACTATGTTGAAATATACGAGGAAGTGAGCACATGGTCGAAAATGTCGAAGATGGGAGAAACTCGACCATCGGATCGCTATTATTAATACTACCGTATTCGATCTAGTCACCTATTGTTATGCTAAAACGAGGGATCGGCAAATTTCTTATAAATTTAAATAAAAAGATGAAAATAAACAACACTCTACCGAACTTACCTCGAGGAAGTGAATGAGACGATCCTTTTCCGGTATGTCACGTGATCTTCACCGCGTTATTTCCTTTTTTTTTTGCGCTTAAATTTCTAACTGTTATCGTCACGGTTGAAAGATTATTCATAACTTTAAGGTTTATAAAAATCTTAATCGCATTTAATTTGATAACTTCGATACAAATTATGGCATAAATTCTTTGGTACGCGTGACGTCAGTCAACATCCGGTCGTTTGTCACGTGACTGAACATAAGCGAATAACGATTCGAGGAATCGCATTTTCCGACCAATAATAATGACGAATCGTTCATTTGAATTTTTGAATTATTTAATGAATCGTGCCGAGTAATCATTGTTTTAATCGTGTTAAGTATTCAAATTAACGTGACTAATCGCTCGTCTGACGATAGAAAATTCTGTCGTCAGTCGTTATTAATAACTAAAGAAATTTTTATTTTTTATTTTAAATAATATAAAAATTAATCCGCGGCGTTTTCTTCCGTTAAAATAAACAAAGCGTTTTCGACGTACTTAGAATACTCGCCAACAAAAACTATAACCGTACGTAATGTAAAAAAAAAAAAAGATAAATTAATAATAATATTTATAAAATTAAGGTTGCGGGTAATAAATTTTAATTATAAAGTTAAAGACTTATTTTAGATTAAGACTAAGCAGTGAAAAAATCGAGAGATCAAATGATGTTATTATTCTCGAAAGAGTAATCAAATTAATCGTTACTTATAAAGAACAAAGGACAGACGAAGGAGAGTAACTCTCGAAACAGTAGGAAATCTTATCCTGGCTTTGAAAAAAAAAAAGAAATGTACCGAAATATGTTGGGCCCCTTAGCTGCGCTTTGGAAACGACGGCAGTTAGAAAAACTAAACTTAAAATATATTAAGAAAGATTAAAACCACGGACAAAATTTGTTTTAAAGTAAATTATATTAAGTAAATAATATATTCGATTAGAAATTATCTTCCGAGTTCTTATTTATTTCGCCTGACTTATTACTATATTTTTTTAAATTTAATTCTTTCTACATAAACATGTATTAACAATAAAATCTTATACACGAAAAGCTAAAGAAGTTTTGATTATTACGAGAAAAGAAATTTATAAATAAAGCGATAGTTTCTTTTTAAAAAAAAGAACCTAGTAGCAAACATAAATGGCTAAGCCGGAAAATTCATTCGGTCGTGATGTTGACTCTTTTCCGAACTTATATAGCGTATAAGTGTCTGAATTAACAAATCGACATTAATTATAAATTACGCGTATTCTTTTCTTAAACGAAACGTTTAACATTAAAAGATTTTAATAAAATTAAGTTATTTGAAATTAGAAAAATTTAAAAATAATTTTTCGTATTCTCCTCCTAATAACAAGTTTTTTTTTTCCAAATTTGATATTAAGATTTCGGGACTTTGTTGGATTCGCTGTTATTATAATCTGCGCATACATATAAATTATTATTTACTGGGTTCCTATATTTATATGGTATTACGTGTATGTAAGAAGCGCGTAGACCGATATACGTGTTATTTATAGAAGAGTTAGCGCATATGAATCTTTATATAGACCCTATACTGTATAAAAAATGTTTTTATACGAGATGGAGAGAGAGTTGAAGTTGAAATAAATTCCATAAAATATTTGAAAAAATATGCTTATTTTTACGATAATTTGCTTATTCGTCATTACCGATAAATTTCCCTTTAGAGGGTCTTTTTTTAAATATCTTATTAATTAATTAATTAACTTTTTATCGCAATAACAACTTCGGAGAGTAACTTTTTTAGTAATTTTTTCAAAGGTATTTTAATAACTATTAGAGCTATTAGAAGATTTAATTTAAAACAAAGTAATAAAACAATAGAGGAGTCACGGAGAAAATAAGAATTAACTTTGATTTATTACGTCTACGTAGTTGCTTCGGTAGAATTAGTATCTGGCTTAGTCGCTTAAGTACGGGGATTACTCGTTTTAAACTACATGGCTTAATCGATAAAAGGTCGCGCCATATTAAACAGGAAAACCATAAAATTAATACCATTTCGATACGTTTGTGAAAAATTTTTAACATTACAACGTGTACGGCGATTTAACGTTTATCGACGGTAAACTCTTTTATATCTACGAACGTCTTCATTTTCTTTCAACGAAATTTTCGTTTACGTAATCATTTCTTACGTTTCCGTACGCGTTAAGCGGATCCGAATAAATGTTTTTTCGATCATAAATAAATATAAATTGCTCGATTGGCGAGAGATGGTCTACCGCATTAATAGCGAACTCGAACGAGTTTTTTTTCAATTTACTACGGTAAAAAGTTACTAAATTCGTTATTGTTATTAATTTTTCGGTCCGGTCGGCCGAGATTTCGGAAGCCGGCTTAAAAGAAAGACGGGTCGTAACCTTCGTTAGACAATTTAATAGATTTTACGAAAAATCGCGAAGAATCGTTTAAAGAGCGGCGAATATTAACATATTTATTTTGTCAGGGAAACTTAACGCGCTTCAAAACGGATCGCATCAACTAATTGAAAAGTTTTGTATTTGTTAATTAATATTATTATATATAAGATTACCATATTTATTTTTATCGTATAATTAAGTTAAATAAAAGACCGGAATAAGTGAAAAGAATATTAAATTTTTAAAACAACGTGGCGCCGATCGCGTTACCTCTGGTGTCAAAAAAAGCCAGACGGAAAGCAGACGACATTTTGCAAATTTACGAGTGGGAGAAACGGTAAGAGGTTTAAAACGATATTTAAATTAGTTAAGTGCGGCGATAAAGTAAGACTACGATAGAAATGCAGACATTTATATTGGCGTGGCTGGGCGAAAAGCCCAATTAAATGACATAATTTACTGACCTAAATTTGAAGCTTTTTACAGGATATAAGATTTTCGTTTCTCATTTAAGACCATACTTTTTGAATCCGAGATAACTCGATTCCAGCCGAAAAGTCTAGTAGTAATCTTAGATTCGGAGCTGGCTCTAAGGCCAAAGTAAAGAAGATCTGATGCGTCTTCAGTTTATCCGCGCGAAAAGAAAAAACAAATTCACGATTCCACTCAAGTATTTATTTATTTAATCAACCCAATAATAAAACATTAATTATCTTTATATATACATTAAACGTCCGGAGAGAAATCGTAACATTTTTTTCTGAAGCCACGTTACGTCTACTTTTCAGATAGAATACTGTATTTGAAATTCCTAAGACGATAAAGAAGTTTCTCACTTTCGAAAAAGATGTCAAAATTAAAAGAAAACCAGCGTGCCGCTTTGGAGAGATTTGTTTGCCGTAATCCGGCGGAGAACGGCAAATCCGCCAAGGACGACGACCGTGGCCGAGAAGACAATGCTAAAAGCGTTTTCCGTTCGTATCCCGGTCTGCGAAATTTGAAAAGCTCTTCGACGTCGGAGGATCCACTTTTCCAACGTCGCGTTTTCCGTAGGAAATTAGAAAAGTCGGAAATGCAAGATCCCACGCGCCCGTCGACCGACTTACCAGAAAGTTCGAATAATTTATCGTTGGGTGGAATAAGCGAAACCGGTCGGCCCGCCGTCGTATTCCTTACCGACGAAAATAATATTAATCGGCGGTTATTATCGGCGGAAAGAGATAAAGCCGGCGGTTTTGAAATTTCGTTGGTTGACGAAATGTTCGATAAAGACGTCGGTTTATTCCGAGAAGACCGAAGAAAGAACGAATGGCTGCTAGACCGAAATGTCTTCGGAACTAACGAGAAAAAAATGTATTTAAGCTTTCCTTCCCATGTTTACCGGGAGTACATTTATCCGATAAGCCAGAGGCGACGTACTAACCGATCTAATTCCGCCGAATTAATTGCGTTAGGCGCGGAGAATTTAACGGAATTGCGGACCATTTATGGTCTGATAATAAAATTCGTTTATAGGTTTTACCTAAATCCGACGGCTTGGAAAATCGAATCGGACTGGCTTCTTTACGCACCTTCGATTGTTAATTTAATCGATGGGATAATTAAGGAGAACGTTCGACGTCCTCCGCCTCTGCCCTTTCTTCCTTCAAGTTGTAATTCGGAAACGAAGGAAAAAAGAAAATATTCGTCCGAGTCGAATCTTCGTTCCGGCAAAAGACAAAAACGGAATACTGATTTACAGTTATTTCCTAAAGTGACAAAATCAATTCCGTCTTCCGGTTACGGAGAAGATATCGGCTGCGATAAGGATACGACTGATGGATCAATTTACAGTTTATGTAAACAAGAGGAAAGTGAATTATTGAAAGAAGCCGCGGATAACGTGGAAATTCTCGAAAATAAATACCGTACGTCGGATTTTCGACATCTACGAGACCAATTAGTTCCGGATAAGTTAACTCTTAAATATCCAGAAGAAACGGAAATAACCATGTACGAAAGACAAGCAGGCGAGTGAATATTTACCAATGCGTAAATCGGTCGTTTTTTTCCAATTTAATAATATTTATTCTCGTTTCGTTGCAGATTTTTCTCCGGACGACAAGGTAGAAGCGGAAAAAGCCTCTAAATCCCACCACTGCCGTAAGTACAGTACGTCTTTCCCTCTCCGACCAAATTAAGCAATTTTTCCCACACCTCTTTCCGTTTCAGTTCTTTCCTTTCGTTCTCGTCGACCGATCAGAGTCGGATTGTCTCGACGTCAGAAAGTAAAACCCTTGCATTCCTATTTACATCTTCCGTCCGAAAGTGGCCATTTTTAACGGTTACAAATTTTTGTTTTAAGTTTACTTTTAATTAACGGGTTATATATACACGCGCGTTACAGGCCATTGTTATATTACTAAACGTTTATAAATAATAACGATTAATAGAAAGTCGACATTGTTTTCTTTAGATTACAGCGCGTAAGAGAGGTAAAAAGCAACGTCTCGTAACTGTATAATTAGAACTAAATTCCAGCATTTTTATGCCGCAATCGATTTAAGCCAACCAAAAATCCTATGCAAATCCGAGCGCAGTTATTACGGATTAATAACCGGATTAGAAGATTTCCGACAACATCTGTGTCCGATTCAATATTTTAATTTATCCGGACTCTCGCACGAATTTAAGGTCTGGGATAGGACGTAGAATAATAGAGAAATCAAAACTTTGGTCGAGACGGAGTCTCTTCCTTCCGTCCAAATACTAAAAATAATCCGGCCGAAAGTTTTTACAATTGGCGTATCCCAGAAGGCTATTTTTATCTTTGTCAATTTGCAGAGAAGACTGCAAATATAGCTTCTATCTACCAAATAAACTACAGTCGAATCTCTTCCACCATTTTATCAATGCCACTCAAACGCCTATTCCTACCGACTCCGTTTCGATTCCGTCGATAAGATGAATATCTGACCTCCTTTAATTTTCCCTTTCCTATTTTTTTCCTTCTCGGGGGAAACTTTAAAATACGAGTCTACGCCCTTTCGTAGGAACAAAACTTTTGCAATAAATTCGTCCGTCTTCGATTCTTAACTGTAAACTGCGGCCGGACAAAGGAGCGAATTTCAGCCTTTTTAAATTCTAACGCTTTCGATCGGGAGACGTCCCGTCCGACGACGGAACTTTCGCGTCGACCAGCCAACGTCGGCGGTTTGCGGCAGATAATTAAGTCTTATTCGCTCGACCTACGCCATTCTTGTCTGCTAGAGGGGACGGGCGTACGCGCGCCTTCCTATATATACTCCGGCCGAACCACCGATAATCGAAGACTAATAGGACGGAAGAAACCGTCGACCGGGCTAATTACCGCGTCTGCCGCGCGCCGGTTCCGGGTAGGGTGGTCCATCTGCATTTAGATCGTCCCCGCGAAGGTTTAAAATTAGAGACTTTCCCAGAAAGGCGCGAGCGAGACGAGCGAAGCGCGGCAATCCGATACGCGTGGTGCGCGCGCCAAGCCGCCACCGGTTTCGACTTCCGCCGGAATCCGCGCGTCGTCCATCTCTCACCCGAGAGGCACGCGCCGGGAAGCGAGAAGGAAATTTTCGATTTTCGGTCCCGTCGGAGAAAGAGACGCCGAGCGCTCCGGAGGCGCTTCCTCTTCCTCTTCCCATTTGCCGCGGAGGACTTCGGACCTCCGAGAAGAGAGAAAGGCGACGACCGGCGGTTCGGAGAGGAGCGCGAAGAGGTCGGTGTTTCCTCCAGGAGCGGCGAGGACGTCGAACATCCTGTTTTGATGCGCGCCGTTCCAACCGAGATAAAGAAGAGACCGAAAACATCCGGACCGAAAGTTAAATTCGGACTTTGCGGAAACCGTTCCCCAAATCGTCCGGTGGATCCGATTTACGTCCGAAGACGTCCGCGCGCGGCGCGACCGTCGAAGGGGGCGCGGAAAACCGGGCCGGAGATGACGTAACGGTTACGCCGCCGTCCCACTGGAAGAAGCGGTCCGAGACGCACTCCCCTTTTCCCACCGAATGAGACGGTCTAACGAAAGTCCGGCGGGTCGTCCGGAGGGAGTGGGGAGAGACGGAAGTGACGGGAGCCAGAGGACGCGTGCGACGCGTCGAGGGCGCGAGCCGGAAGGGCGAGGAGGTCCGGCGGCGCGCCGTGGGCCGGGCGGAGGACCCCCGGCCGCGGACCGGCATCCGGTTAGCCCTCCGCGTCGACTCCGCCGGGGTTCGGACGCACGCAATCGGCACGGGGATATTTATAGAGGCAGAAGTCGGACCAAAAGTAGCAGCTGCAGTCTGCGGGATATTTTGGTCGGGACCGTAGCCTTATAAGGACAGGCGACGCGAGACTGCGGATCAGTGAAACTCGTCGGCAGAAAAGGCGCATCTCGGACCGAACCTCGGATTTCTACGTCCCGGTTCACGTGACGAATTTCCGTCCCGCCGACTTATTTGTCGTCCGAACGCAGACGGGACAGAAGGACGGTGCGGACTACCCGAGACAGAAGACAGCCTGGACGGGACTCCATTCTTCCTTACTTCCCATATCTGCCGCCGATGCTGTATGGAATGTAAAGAAGTATGGAGCCTCGGCCACGGCCGTTCGTCGCTGGACCAAGCCCGTCGACGGTAAATCGTCCCTTTCTTCCCTTCCTAATTACGCGCCGCTCGCCGTGACGTCACGCGTCCCCTACTAACTTTCCCTCCTCTTTCGAATCGCGCTTCCGCCTGTCGGACCGCCGTTCGGCCCGATCCCGACTCGGACGCTTCGGACCCGCCCGGGAGTTTGGGTCGACGAACTTTCCGCTCCCGCTTTTCTCGCGTTTCGGAAGCGGCCCGCGACTGATAAAAAGTCCTCCAGATGGCGACACCGAGTAAATTTTTCCTCGGAGGAATGGCGCTGAACGGAGAGAGATTAGGATAATTATATCTTCGGAGAACTGCGTAGATAATCGAAGGCCGCCGCAAATTAGTCGTCCACTCGGTGGTCCGGTCGCCGGTCCGAACCCTCCCAATTTTATCGCTTCTTTTCGGACAACCCGAATTTTGTACCTCCGGTAAAAACAATTATTCTTCGTGTATCGTTTCGACGTCCGTTTTACCAATAAAAGCTTGTCTCCTTTTAATTTCTCTCGTTGTTTTCTTTTTTTACCGAGAGGTGTCGTCGTTCGACGCTAAATTGTTTTGCCTTCCGCGCTCCTCGCCCACGTGACGCGATAAGTAGCTCCACCATTAAAAAAATCCAAAGAAGAATATCCGAAAAGAATTTCTTTTTTTAAATCTTCGACCGTCTTCCAAAGACAGCTGGACACCGCTTTAACGACCGTTCGAAATACTTAAAACAATTTTTTTTTTTTAATTCCGTTTGTATTTATTTTTTGTTTTTATCGTTTCCGGTGCTTCGAAGCAATTGTAACCCCCAATATAATCTAAATACTGTATTTTAACGAGTTATCGCCATTTACGCGCTAAACAATCATTTTATAAAATTTTGCGCCTTTGTATGCAATTACAAAGGCATTCGCTAGCGAAAATGCATTCTCGAATAAAATAGAACGTTTGGGCCTATACAATCGTAGCCGTTCGCCTAAACCGTTCAAAGCGGAAATTTACGGGTAAGACGGACCCAACCAATGCGTCGACTAACGAACGTTCGGCTACGTTTAACCGTTACGTCAAAAGAATAGAGCGGCCATTTTTGCTGGTTGCGTAAGAGCGTTACGTAGCTACTTAGGAATTAATTTAATGCGGGAGGTCGAATAGTTTGTAACGTAAATAAGCTACGCGGGTCGTCACGTGACCGAAAGCGACGCTGCCGAAAAATTCCTGGCGCAACAGTTAAGGTCTAACGTATTAAATTCGGTTACGCGATTACCCTCTCCTTTCGCGCGTAAAAAAATAATCGGATTACTCTTTTCCGTTCTCTATTTCTTTATCTAATAAACGGAATAACCATATCGGGAATTCTTTGTTTAAATTTGTAAAACGATTAGACGTCTCTAAACCGTTTCCACCTAACGAAGGAACTTTTTACAGCGTTTTCCCCCCCATTTTTACAATTACGTGCCGAACCCCGAACACTTTCGGATTACGAATTTTTAGATACGAACGTATAACTTCCGGTTCGCGTTTATCTTTTGTATATAAAACAATCGTCGGGCGGTACACCTCGTTCTTTCGATCGAACTTATATTCCAATATTCGTCACCGGCTTAAAGGTCTTGGGAAATTATTTCCATTAAAAATCTGTAACGTCGACAATTGGGCTTTCGTATAAAGAAATTAAATAAATGTAATCGTTCGATTAGAAATTCTTATTGTAAAGATTATATTATATGTGTCTGTGTGTCGAGTTTCTTCAAAAGGAGCGATCGAACGTCCGATCGAAAGATCGAAAAACATTTATTTTTTACCGAAGAGCGGCGGTTTTTACGTTATAAGAGGTTTCGCTTCGACACAAAACTTGTCTTTAGAATAATATTTTTTTAATTAAAAGTTTAATATTAATCCCGCGTTTTCAACATCTCTATTATCGTATTCCAAATCTTCTAAAAATACGATGTCATCAAAGAATTTTAGATTTTTTTGCGCTTTATCCTCCGATAAAACGGCTAAAATCGAATTTTTAGGTACGGAGCAATTAACCGGGCCGGGGTAATCGACCGCCGGATCGGAAAATTCTCCCTTTCGATTAATCGCGATAGAATGCCAGTACAATGTACCGGTGGTTAGTGGTCGAAATCGATTACTCGATTCTCGATTAATGACGATTTATCGAATTACGCGGCGACATATTTTTACGCGTTTACAAAAATAAAGTTTGATAAACACGGAGTTTTGAAATTCCGTCCGCGTGATTCGATCCGAAACCAATTCCCGACACTGGCGACCGCCCTCTCCTTTCGAAAGTAATTCGTTGTTCCTACAGACGCATAAAAGAATCGATGGAAAAGTGAGAAATATGAAAGGTTTGTTCATTGAAAGGATTTTCTTTCCAACTTCTCAATGGTCCAAATACGTCGATAGAAAAAATTCCCAGCTGTATTTTTTCTTTTCCAAAGCTATAGGCCTATATATATATATATATTTTTTTAAATTTAATTCTTTCTACATAAACATGTATTAACAATAAAATCTTATACACGAAAAGCTAAAGAAGTTTTGATT